CCAATTTACATTCTTACCAACAGTGTAGGAGGGTTCCCTTTTCTCCATACCCTCTTCAGCATTTATTATTTGTAGGTTTTTAAAGATAGCCATTCTCACCGTTGACATGATACCTCACTGTAGTTTTGATTTGCCTTTCTCTAATTACCACATGCTCCACTTTTAACAACGACCAGCTACTGCAATGCAGTTTAAATGCTGATGAACAGAAGTCAGCTAAGATCTTCCCCACCTCTCACCAGAACGTATCTTGATTTATTCACCGTGGCCACTTGGATTATAACTGTCTCTAACAGGACTCTACTCTTGCCTTCCTCAAATCCATTCTCTACTCTGCAACTAAGTTCTAAAACAAATCCAGTCCTGTCAGTCTCGTCTAAAACCCTTCAACTGTACTCCACTGCACAGGACACAAACAAATCAGGGTAACAGACATGTTTTCACAACCTGGGTCACAGCTTCCTCTCTGGTTCCTCTCTCACCACCTCTCCTCTAAGTTTAACTGAAGTTACCCGCAATTCCCAGACTGGGTTGTATTCTCTCACCTTCAGCACTTTGTGGCCTTTGATTGTGCGACACTGTAATATAGGAAATATATACTGGCCTTCACCCCCAGTTCCTGGCACAGAGCTTTTTAAACCCCTGCAATTTCCTATGTGGTAGAGATGAAAGGATACCGGAGTTCATGCTAAAGTGTTGGCTCTTGGAGGGTAGGGGGGCTGGTTGCCAAAGGAAACAACCATTTGATTAGAGGGTTGGAACTTTCAGCTCCACCCTTTGACCTCCAGAGGGGCTGGAGTTGGAGTTAGTTACGATGGCCAATGATTTAATTAATCGTGCCTACCTAATGAAACCTCCACAAAAACTTTAAACAAAGGGGTTCAGAGAGCTTCAGGGATGGAGAATGCACCCAGGAGAGTGGTGCAACCCAAACTTCAGACAGGTGGATGCTCCTGTGGTCAGAACCCTTCTGGACCTTGCCCTACGGACCACTTCATCTGGCTGTTCATTTATATCCTTTACAATGAACCAGTAATGGTAAGTAAGGTGTCTCCCTGAGTTCTGTGAGCCATTGTAGCAAATTATGAAACCTGAGGAGGGGGTTGTGGAACCTCCAATTTGCAGCCAAATCCGACAGAAGTGCGGGTAATTTGGGGACTCATTACAGGCGACTGGCATCTGACGTGGGGGGCAGTCTTTTGGGGCTGAAACCTTAACTCGTGAAGCCTGCACTAGTCCTGAGCAATGTGTGTCAGAACTGCTTAATGGGAGGGAAAACCCCACATATCCAGCGACGGAAGTGTTCTGAGAAGAGAAAGTTTTTCCCTTTAGCTTAGAAACTCCTCCTCCCACCGATTTACCTGGCTTTCTTTTACCCACAGTTCAAGTCTCAGTTTAGAGGTCTCTTCCTCCAGGAAGTATTCCTTGAACCTCTCAGGTTGAGTTAGGTGCCTTTATATGTGCCCCTACAGTAACCAGCACCTACTTTTATTCCATAACTGACTACGCAACACTGTATTATCATTGCCTTTTCACTTGTTCACTGCCCCATGTGGATGGGAAAATTCTTAAAGATTGAGACCTGGTGCCTACCACAGTATGACATGTATTAGCCCCGTTAAGTTATGTAATGAAGGAATTAGTGAATAAATGACACAAGGAGGGCTGGCTACAATTCATCAGGATTACTGAACACAAGGCTGCAAAAGTGAGCACCTCTGTTAGAATAATGAAGGTGAGGCTCGCACATTGCATGTTGTAAAACGCAGTTAATTCTGTATCCTCAAAACCACAGTCCAGATGACAGCTCCCAGGTGAGTTTCTATTTCTTACCACTTTGGGGGGAAAGGCAAGGTTCCCAGGGTTTCAGCTGTGTCTTTAAAGGCTGGAACTGGATGCCTGTTAACTCCTGGGATGCTCCAAGACGGGTCAAATCCTTCCATGGCACTGCTGGTCCCTGTGGACTAGTGGGGACCTGAAATCAGTAAAATATGGTTAGCTATGTGAGAAAATCCCTAGGGAAAATGCTTAGTAAAAAATCTCCAAGAGGTCTGCAAGACAGCTCCAGGGATGAGGGACAGGAACAAAAGAACTATTCAAGGATAGAGTCAGGCATGGCCCCAGTAGTCACTTCAGGGTTATGGTTCAGTAGAGACAAACAAATTCTCATCCTACTCTTATGATGATGCCACATGCTCCAGTCTGTAAATTCCTTTCCCCACAACACATCTCCCCGTTCCCACCTGCTGCCCTGGGTCATCAAATTCCCTCTCCAAATCCTCCAACAGAGTCACAGCTTCCTCGCCACTTTTTGGACTATGTTGCTGAACCCAGACCTGCAGCTCCTCAGGCAGGATGCTCAGGAACTGCTCCAGCACCAGCAGCTCCAGGATCTGCTCCTTCGTGTGCACCTCCGGCATGAGCCACTGATAGCAGAGCTCCTGGAGTCGGCCCAGAGCCTCCCGGGGCCCAGGTGTCTCCTGGTAGCAAAACTTTCTGAACTGCTGGCGAAACAGTTCTTGGCAGGATCGGGTACTCCCATTCTGCTTCAATTTCTGACCCCAAGAAAGGCTTTCTTCTACTTTCACTAATATCAGTTCTTGTTCCTGAGGATTCTGAGGTACTGGGGTTGAAACTGCTCTGGATTCCACAGCCATTCTGGGCTGAAACGGCCTCAGCAAAAAGCTCACTACAACTGGGCACTGTACTCCAGAGTTTCTTTGAGTAATCTCTTCTTTCCTGAAGGATATAAAAGCACTGTTAACTTCTAGCAATGAAAAAAGTCTTTAAGAATTTACAATAATAAAGATCAGTTATCCAAGTAACACATTGAAAGGGGTTAGGTTTGAGACTGTAACTAAGTAATAGTCAATTGATAACCAACTGACAAACTGAAAATCACTCACCTCATTGTCTCCCATTTTGTAGAATTCCTACCACTTTTATGCTATGAGAAATTATTTTAGATAATTTGTTTGGCAAAAGAATGCAAAACTAACATGAACTAGAGATTGAGAAATCTCCTTTTCAATTCTTTCAATCCTGATTGCATTAAGGAAAATTGTCTGTCTCTTTAACATTGTCCATAAAACTTTAGGAATTCCCTTTTTAATAAAGCATAGGCTTCAGAATTCCATGGGTAACTAGCTAGGATTTGATATGCTGATTTTTAAACATTTTTAGTTACCTCCTACCTATGGCAAATAATGTTCTTCATTTGAGGTGGTAATAAAGCATTAAAAAAAATCCACATTAAACATGAGTTGATTTAGGGGGGTGGGTATAGCTCAGTGGTAGAGCACATGCATAAGGTCCTGGGTCAATCCCCAGTACCGCCACAAAAAACAAAACAAAAACATGAGTTGATTTAAATTAAAATGTTGGATATTCGGTCAAATTTAGTATTTAATGCATTTTTAAAAAAATGGTGGTACTGGGGATTGAACGCAGGACCTCGTACGTGCTAATCATGCGCTCTACCACTGAGCTATTTACCCTCCCCCTCCTATAATGTACTTAAACAAACACAGGCACTTATTATGGGCTTTGTCCTGAGTGGGATATTCCGGATACAAAGGTTTTCGCTCGTGAATAAATAAGCCTACCAATGAAATTAACCAAGTATTAGGTTACCATGTGCTCAGAAACATGTCAGATATTATAGACACACAAAAGCAGCAAAAAGGTTAATCTCAACTCTCAAAAAGCTTAGAATATACGGAAGTAAACCTTTTTAAAAGTGAAAAGTGGCAACAATTTTGTTTTTAATTTTGTTTAATTATATCGAAAGAAGGGTATGCCCTTGAATTAGCCGGATCGATCAGTATAATTTACCCCAACACTACAGTTAACTTTAGAGATCAGAATATTTAGCCTACAAATGTGTGGTTTATTAACGAGCCCTGCTGCACGAGCCTTTCTATTTTCACATCACGGTTAAGTCACGGCATCTACGAAGTCACGGGGTGGGGGAATAACTGCACTGGCCGCTGGAAAGCAGGGGCTTGCGGGTTGGCCTCCTCTGCGTCTGCAAGACGCTCGGAGACGCCGCCCGGACAAGAAGTGCTACTCGGGGGCCGGCAGGCCGAGCAGCGGGGCTCCTCCACCCCGCGCCCGCCGACCGGGCCGCGCGCCCTCCCTGCCCTCCCTGTGCCTTGGGCCCCGCGTCCCTCACCGCAAAGCTCGAAAGCGGCCAGGGAGCAAGCCGGGGTCCCGGAGCCGCGAGCCACAAAGGCCGGAAGTGCGCGCCCGCGGCCTTCCGCTCGCACGCCCTCGCGAGCCCCCGTCGGCCCCGCCCCATGCTCAGAGGCAGCCAATCAGCTCGCGAATCCGGATCTTCCCACCGCCTTCCCGCGGTGGCGGCGGGCCCTGCGGAGCGTAGGCGCCCCGGTGAGGGTGCGCTAGAGGCGGGGGTCTCTGGGAGACGCCGCCCCTCCCCGAGGGCAACGCTCCCTGCCTCTGCCGCCTCCTGCTTTGGCTTTCTCCCGCCGCCGAGCACAGTACTTGGTGTCCCGTCCCTCCCGATGCATCTCGCCTCCAGTTTTCTAGAGGAGAATTCGGATTTTCCTGTAACTCCTGTGCGTTTCCAGTACGTCGGACAGAAGTGAACGCGTGGCTGAACTGGCTGAAAAGTAACAACCGCTTATATTGCTCTTCCCTGTGCATACCGTTTGAGCTTCACAGCAGCTCTCTGCGGTAGATATACTATGCCCATTTTGCAACCGTAGACACTGCCCAAGTCAAGCAGCTCGTGACCAGAGACCCCTAAGTCACCATGGTTCGAGGACACTCTGGATTCCCAGACTGCGCCTCTAATGCAAGATTTTCCCATTTTTCACTGGAACCTGGCTATCTTAAGCCTTAGTGTTTCAATTTTCCTTTGGCCATTTAGGAGATAAAAAACGACGCCTCATGTTGTTTTAACTTGCATTTCTTTTAAATTAGCTTGAGGTTAAGGTATTTCCATCACATGTTTATTGAACATTTATGGTTCTTCGAGTAAACGGCATTTCCCATTTTTTAAATTGAAGTGTTACAGTTTTTCTTTTATATTTTCCACAGGTTTTTACGTCCTAAGGATATAAACTCATTTGTTGCAGGTTGCAAATATCCCCCGCCCGCACCCTTTTTGTACTTAATTAATTTGTAAGTGTTGGTACAGGGTGATACATCAATGGGAACAAATTCTCCTTTGTGAGCTGGGACAGTTGAAACACACATATTTGGGAAAAAATATTAATTAGCATTCAGAGTGACTCACTAAATAATTCATCATTGTGAACGGACTATGGCAATTTCACAAAGCCAGAGAGCAAATAACACTACCTTGTGTTTCAGCTGTTGCTTCCTCACAAACCCTTCCAATACTTAGTGACTAAAAGCAGCAGGTGTCTTATTGCTCACAATTCTGTGGTCAGTAGTTCAGGCAGGGCTTAGCAGAGATGGCTGGCCATACTTTATGTGGTGTCAGCCCACTTGGCTAAAGCGGGACTGGAAGTTTCAAGATGATGTCAGCCATATTGCTGTGTTCCTGATGCTGCCTTTGGACTGGAGTTCCTTGATTCTCCGGCATAAAGTGTCTCTCCATGTAGTCTCTCATCATTCGGCAGTTTAGCCTAGGCTTTCCTACATGGTCTTGGTTTCCAACAGATTGAAGGAGGAAGGGAAGATGCTTGTTCTCTTAAGGCCTGGGTCTGGAACTGTCATTGTATTCTGCTGTATTCTGTTGGCAGGACTAGACTCATAGGAAGGGCTTTGAAATAGACTCCACCTTTTAATAGGTGGAGCAGCTTGAACGTAAGAAATTTAGACAGTTATCCTTGCATTCAGTCTACCACACCTTGCTAAATTGAGAAGCCTACTATTAGAAATGGAATTATTGAGAGAGAGAGAAGAAATGCTCTTAACTGCAGTGCTAGAAAACTTTACTAAATGTCCTTATTGTTTAAGCCTTTTTGTTATCCAGCATAGCTAGGTGTGGAAGTAATGCCATCCTCAGGGTTGGTTAATTTAATGACTTGACAGTATTATCAGGGAACCGGGTCTCTTCCCTCTTTTTGCTCTGCCATCTTTAAATGTGTTGGCTTGTTTTCCAGTCTGGCTTCCAGTATGGTCCTAAAATGGCCATTTCAGGTCCTGATCAAGGACGATATCCAGAGGCAGGGGAAGGGAACACTCTTATATTCTGCTCCTTTTTAAGATTAAGGAAAACCTTTCCCCCCCAGCAGACTTTCCTGGATAGCTCATTAATTAAAATTGCCTCAGCTGTCTATGCCTAGCACTAACGAGGTGGTGAGGCCTCCAAGGGAAGCTTGGCTAATTGAGATTCATATCCCAGGGCTGAGGAGGGCCCAGCCTCTCCTGAAAGACACAGACAGTCCGGGGAAGGTGAATGAAATTAGGGTTATGTTAAAAAAACAGAAAAAGGGGATAGAGGAATGATGGTTTGTAGCATCTCCTTCAATAGGTGCTCTGATTATAGGTGATAGGCTTAAATTGGTCAGAAACAGAGACACTAGGGAAAAAAATTCAAATTCTTATTCCTTATAAAAGCTATTTAAAATAGAAATTAATGACTTAGTTACAAGAGGTATATAGGAGGTATCTGGCTTAGGTTTATAGCAAATTTCTAGGACTTGGTTTAAATTCCCAGTGGGATAGTAACTGATTACTCTTAAGAGCCTTAGCCAACAGTTTCCACTTAATGGTGTCTAGTCCATTTTGCTATAACAGAAATATCGTAGACTCAGTGGCTTATGAACAACATAAATTTCTTTCTTACAGTTCCGAAGGTTGGCAAGTTATGATCAAGGCAGCCGTAGATGCGGTGTCTTGTGAGGACCCACTAACTCGTTTGTAAACTGGTGAGTAATGCTATTGATTGGATAAAGTCCAGCTACTTGAATTATGTATCATTTAACAGTGCTGTACTTCGTGGTCTTTATCAAGTGAGATAAACTTAACTGTAAACCACTGTTTGATAATCAAGATAAAGTGGTTCTGATGCTTGAGGAAAATGGATCATTTTCTCATTCAGTGAATAGTATTAAACATTAGCATATGTGAAACCCTGGTAAGAAGAGAGAGATTCAAATGAAATAATAGATTAGCCTCCTCCACTTCACTTACAAGTGTAACTCCTAGAGGATAAACTCCATGAGGGCCGGGGTTTTGTTTTCTCCTTGTTGTCTCCTGTATGACTAGCATATGAATACACAAGGGAGCACTGGTGCTGGTAAAGTAATTAAACAAGGAGGTCATTTGATGGTGGTGGCTCTAAGGCCTTGGCAGCCTACCTAAGCAAATGAAAACCTAAGCCAGAGTTGATTCCCGTAAATGCCTCAAGGAAAGAAATGGAAACTTCAGAACAGCTAATCACAAACAGCCAACGAGGCTTTCTCAGATGAGGCCACCACCCAAGCTGTGGTCAGTCAAGGATTTCCTTGCTTTGCTTCCGCGTGTGCTCTGGAAGGCCTTTCCTTGAGCTCCCGCTGCTGGGCGCTCCTAGGTGTTTTCAGTTTGGCGCTGCCTGGCTTGCTTTGATGTTTGCTCAGAGAAACTCTGCAAAATTTTCCTGTACTTCAGTTGACCTTTTAACAGTGCCCAAACGAGTGATAGTAAGTAATTGAAAGATTCAAAGAAGTAGAGTATTCAGAAGGGAAAATTTTGAATAATATACTTTGTTTATTTTGACTCAGGATGTATTTTCATCAGCTGTAGCAGGATGACAGATACAGAGACAACTGCCTTTGAAAGAGTTTCTTACTCACAGTTCCCCAGAGGATGGGAAGCACGGAGTGCCACACGGGTCCACAGGGGTCACTCACAGGGAGAAGCAGGGAGAGAGAAAACTGGGACTAAATCTTTACTGTAGCGCTGGGAAGCAGCTGGGGGGATGTCTCCTGTTGAGTGGAAAGCAGATCACACAGTTGATGCTGTGGTTGGAGGGTTCGTGATAGATTTTCCGAGCGCCTGACGGTGGAGGTGTCTGTAAAAAACCTTGGGTCGTTAGCATGGTTCTGTAACTCCAGGATGCCGAATCATGACTACAGAATATCAAGAATAATTATTACACTATTAAGTTCTGTTAGTGTTCCCATTATATCACCAGCTTAGCTTTGTGTTTTTTTACAGACAGATAATAGACGTATTAACAGAAGGAAACAATGCTTGTTTGTCGTACACAAGACCGTAAACAAAAGCTTTGTTTACCAAGTTGTTTCTCTTTGCCTCAGTGCCAAAGCAAGCCCTGGAGGTTGCTCAAGAGGTGCATTTATCGTGCCCGGAGCAGAGTTAAAGCTACAGACACGCGTATTATGGTTTTACTTTTTTTTTTTCCCTCCCTTCACGGATTAACCAGAGAGAGATCTCATCCTTGCTCTTAATCCTGCCAGCCACTTCCGAAGGCTCTTCCACCAGGACTGTGTTCTGCCCTTAGGGGTGATTCAACAAAGAAAGATACATTCTAAGATTGAGGGGGAAAAAAAAAACTGCTAAAGAAGCTGAATGAAATATTTTCTAATGATTTTGTGGGTAGGAAGCAGTGTGTGGAAGGAAAGCTTTTCTTTTTCCTTTTTTAAAGCTGTAGGATTTGGGTGTTAAGACGCCTCGTTTCATTATACCTATTATTTGTGGTAAGCTGGGCATGTTTCAAAATCTAATTTGGTTGCCATGAGCTTGTCTTATTTGCCTAAATTCTTTTGTTGTTGTAGTAGTCATTACTAGAAGGAGATTTGGGTTTTAATTAAATTTTTTTACAGAACAGTGAACGTACTGAATACTCATTGGGTTTATGTTTGGCAGCATCTGTTGAGAAGTTTTATTTCTTTAATCGCATGGCGGTAAATGACTAATTTATATACTACCCAACATTACTTCTGGGCCTTCCGAATGCCAAAATGTGTTTTTATTTTTAAAACATTTTTCAGGAGGTACAACCCAGTTTGCTTATGTTTTCTGGATTTGTCTTACTTTTAAAAATTCATTATTTTATATCATGTTTTTATGATGGGGAATATACTGCCACAGGTAATAACACTTTCCTTATAAATGGCTATTGATTTTGGTTATATTAAAAAGATCCAATTGAATACCTTTTGGTGGAACTTCCTTTATTTATATATAAACTACCAGTTTGAAGTTTGTGATCATGTATACACTGACCAGAGTGGACTCTCACTACCAGAAATGGAAATGTTACCCAAAGGGAACATTTGGGGCCAGCACTTTGGGGAGGATGGGACAAGTGGGTATGTTCAGAATAATGTAAAGTTTACCAGATTCAGATTCCGGAGCGAGACTGGGTTCAAATCTCTGCTCTCTCAATTATTAGCTCTCTGACCTTGTGCAAGCTTCTTAAATTCTCTATGCCTCTATTTCCTTTTCTAAAAAATGGGGGTAAAGTACCTACTTCTTAAGGTTGTTGGAATACATTTAGAACAGTGCTCAATGAATGTGTTTTGTTGGTATTTGGGGGAGGAGAGATTGATGAGGAGTGTGGAAGCTAGAAGAGGGACTATTTCTGCAAGTCTTGATCTGCCTAATGCTAAGAATTGTTTCGTCTTTGTTAAAAATGCACCTCACTAGGCCTTCAGTTAGAACACCTAAGGAGGGTTCAAAGAATTTGTATTTTTGACATATAACCCAAGTGATTTTTATTATCAGATTACTTTGGGAAACTGGGATGTAGTAGACAGAGTGTAGACTTCAGACTCAGATGTGGATTCTGATCCATTCATTGAACACTTATGTCCAGATGTCCACATGGATCAGGAACTGTTTTAGTTGCTGGGCATGCAGCGCAAACTAAAACCGATGGAAATCTCTCATTTTTGTGCCTTTAGACCTTAGAGATCTCCTGTAATTTCTACTCTAAAATGTCAACCAGGGCCTGTCTGAGTGACTTGAATGAACTATTTAAACAATAAAGACTTTTCTTTCCCTTGTCACAAAAGCATTATGAGTTCATTAATGAAAAAAAAATCAGAAATTGTAAGCCATAGCCCACTGAGCTCATGTTGGAGAGGGAAATCCTTAGCTGTCCAGAGGTCTGCTGTTCATATTATGTAAAAGAATTTAGAATAGAAAAAAAAAGTGGTGGGGTTAGTGGTTTGATGGTGGCAGAGATGTCCAAGTGGTTTTACCTTTAAATGGGAAATTGAGCCACTTGACCACAGAAAAGCAAATATGACCAAATTTAGTTCCCTTGGGTTTTGGGTTTCTGTATTTATTGTCTGGTTGGCTAGTTGCCAAGCCCAGTAGGTTATTTTGACAAATCCCTTCAGAATTGTCCTTTGAAAGGGAAATTATGGCGGCTTAATTTTAGTGTTCTCTCCCTCCTGGAAGATATGATTAAAGCCAGGAATGTTTTCTTTGTTGATGGCTTCTGTAAGAGGGCATGGTCACCTGTGAAGGTACCTTTGCTGCTCTCTTGTCAGAGAATACCAAAAAGTGTCCAATAGTGGTTTGAACTTATTAATTATTAGTTGTTACATTATGGAATTATTATAATGGAATACTTACTAACTTGAGTTTTTGCCCTCACGCATCATGGCTAAGTAGAAATTTTAGGGCCAATGGAAGGGATTAGGAAAAATTGGTCATTTGAAAACTCTGGTCCTACTTAATTATCATCTGAAATAACTCAAATTTGTCTTTTCCTTTTTAATGTTTTACTTCAAGTGTTTATTGTCTTTCTAGCTTCTTAATTGATCTCCTTGAATCACACCTGCCCTCTTATCTGAGTACATCTTTCAGATCGCTGCCGGAGTCTTAACGCGAATCTGATGATGTCACCGTCCTATTTATAAGTCTTTGCTGCCTTACTGTGCCCTCCGAATATAAGGTGCACACCCTTACCACACCATTCAGCATCTTCCTCCTTCTGACCTGTAGCTATTATCCCCTGTGTCCCTGGGCACCAGAGCTGATACACCATCTCCCTCATCCTACTATGTTCAGCATTTTGCCTTTGCCCTGACGATTTTCTTTAACAACCTTTTTGCTTTTGGAATAAGTCCTAAGCATCCTTCAAGGGTGGTTTGCTTATGGGTTGTTTTCCCTGTGAAACCTTCCTTGGCTCCCTAGGAAGAGCTCTGTTTGAGTTGTTCCTCTTGTAATCCTAGGATCTGGCTAAGCACTTGGAGCATACCTATTAATTTCTTTTTAAAATGAAAAGTACTTTTTTTAAGGAACTATCCTTAAAAGTTACTTTTTTTACCATTTAGTTCTTTATATGGTAAATTTCCTTTGTTTGATTTCTTAGCTAACCAAACTAATAGCATTGTCATTGTCTTCATCACTGACATTTAACATACCTAGACTGCTTGCATACAGGTGGGGTGCAGAAAGATCTGACAGTTGGTCCTGCACGCATTGACTCAGTCAGCTGTGTAGGAGCCCTGGAGTGATGTTGAGTGAGTGTACTTCTTTCGATGTTGTGCTACCATAGAGCCCACAGTGACACCTTGCTGAGACGGTCCTACGTCAGTCTCCAAGTTTCATTTAAAATTCAAGGTCATAACCTGACTCATACCTGACACATTTCTAGGCTTAGTAGCTATTCCCTTATATGATTTTAAGCAGGTCTCAAGTCAATTTTGCAGTTAAGCAAGTCTAGTCAGTTTAGTTTTGTGTTTAAATAGCAACTGATCTCTCAGTCTCCTAGGAAACTAGGAACTCAAATAATAACCCTTTATACAGAGAGCATGTCAGGATCTCTTAAATCTTTAAATGCAAGGCAAGCAAATGCTATGAATTAACAGTTTATGTAGGTAAGCATGATGACATGGCAGAATAAAATAAAATTAGGAAAATACACAAGTGAACAGAGTCTGCTAATGACTGAATCTAACCAAATAAAATA